GGACAGGATACATTTGTTTTTGAGATTTTCCGCGGACGAAGCGAGGGATCTGATCCAGAGATATCTGACCGAGCATCCAGATCCTAACAACGAAAACATCGTTGGTTACAATAATAAGAAATGTTGGCCCCGAGACGCGCGAATGCGATTGATGAAGCACGACGTTAATTTAGGCCGTGCCGTGTTTTGGGACATTAAGAACCGTTTGCCTCGTTCTACGACCACGATACAATGGGAGAATAGTTTCGTTAGCGTCTACAGTAAAGACAATCCGAATTTGTTGTTCAACATGAGCGGATTCGAGTGCAGGATCTTACCAAAATGTAGAACGACCCACGAAGAGTTCACTCATAGAGACGGTGTGTGGAACTTGCAAAATGAAATCACAAAAGAGAGAACGGCTCAATGTTTCTTAAGGGTCGACGACGAAAGTCTCCAACGATTTCACAACAGAGTTAGACAAATTCTGATGGCCTCCGGTTCGACAACCTTCACAAAGATCGTTAACAAATGGAACACGGCATTGATCGGATTGATGACTTATTTCCGCGAGGCTGTGGTAAACACGCAAGAACTTTTAGATCTGTTGGTCAAGTGTGAAAATAAAATCCAAACGCGTATCAAGATCGGGCTTAACTCGAAAATGCCCTCCCGTTTTCCACCGGTAGTCTTTTATACGCCGAAAGAACTCGGCGGGCTTGGTATGCTTTCAATGGGACACGTACTTATACCTCAGTCCGATTTACGATGGTCGAAACAAACGGACGTCGGCATCACGCATTTCCGTTCGGGTATGAGCCACGACGAGGATCAACTAATTCCGAATTTGTATCGATACATTCAACCGTGGGAGTCGGAGTTTATAGATTCGCAACGAGTATGGGCGGAATACGCGTTAAAGCGTCAAGAAGCGAATGCACAAAATCGTAGACTGACCTTGGAAGATTTGGAAGATAGTTGGGATCGTGGTATTCCTCGAATAAATACATTGTTCCAAAAAGACAGACATACTCTCGCATACGACAAAGGTTGGAGGATACGTACAGAATTTAAACAGTATCAAGTATTGAAGCAAAATCCATTCTGGTGGACTCATCAACGACACGACGGTAAACTCTGGAATCTGAATAATTACAGAACGGATATGATACAAGCTCTCGGCGGTGTCGAGGGTATTTTGGAGCATACGTTGTTCAAGGGAACATACTTTCCAACTTGGGAGGGTCTTTTCTGGTGAGAAATAATATCTCTTTCCATCTCTCTCTCTCTCTTCTTCAAAAGAAAGAATTTTCTTATTTTATTTTATTTTATTTTATTTTATTAGGGAAAAAGCTTCCGGATTCGAAGAATCTATGAAATACAAGAAATTAACAAACGCTCAAAGATCGGGTTTAAATCAAATTCCAAATCGTCGATTTACTTTGTGGTGGTCACCGACTATTAACAGAGCAAACGTATACGTCGGTTTTCAGGTAGCTACTGAAAATGATTCGTTTCAATCGTTTAGTTAGCAAACGATTAGTTTAATTCTTTATTTATTTGATGTAGGTGCAATTGGATTTGACAGGAATATTTATGCACGGTAAAATTCCAACTTTAAAGATTTCCCTGATTCAAATATTCCGTGCACATTTATGGCAAAAAGTACACGAATCGATCGTAATGGATCTCTGTCAAGTATTTGATCAGGAATTGGACGCATTAGAAATCGAGACTGTTCAAAAGGAAACTATACATCCTAGAAAATCGTATAAAATGAACTCTTCTTGTGCCGATATTTTGCTTTTCTCCGCTTATAAATGGAACGTTTCTAGACCATCTTTACTCGCAGATTCAAAGTAAGTAGCAACGTTAATTTTCTTCAAATTTATTGCGTTACATTCGAAGTTAAATTTTGTTAAATTCAGAGATCTTATGGATAACACTACTACGCAAAAGTATTGGATAGATGTTCAACTTAGGTGGGGAGATTACGATTCTCACGATATCGAAAGATACGCTAGAGCGAAATTTTTGGATTACACAACAGACAACATGTCTATTTATCCATCACCGACAGGATTACTGATCGCTATTGATTTGGCGTATAATTTACATAGGTGGGTATTTCACTGAAATTCAACATTTCTTCTTTACGAAAAATTAATTAATTGGCGTAAATTTGTAAACTCTTGTTGTCAGCGCGTATGGCAACTGGTTTCCAGGATGCAAGCCTCTTATACAGCAAGCGATGGCAAAAATAATGAAAGCTAATCCGGCTTTGTACGTACTGCGAGAACGTATAAGGAAAGCATTGCAGCTTTACTCTTCGGAACCTACAGAACCATATCTGTCTTCGCAAAATTATGGAGAACTCTTTTCGAATCAAATTATTTGGTATTATACTTTTCTATCTTTTTATATTTGAAATATTCGTTGAAAGTTCTGATCGATTTCTGATCTGATATTTTTATTAGGTTCGTCGATGATACTAACGTTTATCGTGTCACGATACACAAAACATTCGAGGGTAACTTAACCACAAAGCCTATAAATGGAGCGATTTTTATTTTTAATCCTCGTACTGGTCAACTATTTTTGAAGATTATTCATACTTCTGTTTGGGCTGGACAGAAGCGTTTAGGTCAAGTACGTAAATTGTATTCGATCGCGAATCCTACGATCGAGTTTTATTGTAACTTGACATTGTTTCGTTGCAGTTGGCAAAGTGGAAAACCGCCGAGGAGGTAGCTGCACTTATTCGATCGTTACCGGTAGAAGAACAACCAAAGCAAATCATAGTAACCAGAAAGGGAATGTTGGATCCTTTGGAGGTCCATTTGCTCGATTTTCCTAATATCGTTATCAAAGGTTCGGAGCTTCAGTTACCGTTCCAGGCTTGCTTGAAGGTCGAAAAGTTTGGCGATTTAATCTTGAAAGCAACAGAACCGCAAATGGTGTTGTTCAATTTATACGACGATTGGTTGAAAACCATCTCATCTTATACGGTAATGCGTCCATCGTTTATTGTCGGGTCGTTTCGTTTCGTTTCGTTTCGTTTTCTTTCAAAGTATCAAAATTTATGAAGCAGTATTTTTTATTATACAGGCATTCTCACGTTTGATACTAATCCTCCGTGCGTTGCACGTTAACACCGAGAGAACAAAAGTTGTGTTAAAACCTGACAAGACAACGATCACGGAACCCCATCACATATGGCCCTCTTTAACGGATGACGAATGGATTAAAGTCGAAGTACAGTTAAAAGATCTTATACTGGCAGATTATGGTAAAAAGAATAAGTACGTATCGTGCTGTCATGTTATTGGAAACATACGTAAAGGGAGGCTTAAAAAAGTTTGTAATTGGTAGTAGTGTAATATGATTGTTTTTCAGTGTAAACGTTGCATCATTGACTCAATCGGAAATCCGAGATATCATTTTGGGCATGGAAATTAGCGCGCCGTCCGCGCAACGTCAGCAAATCGCTGAAATCGAGAAACAAACGAAAGAACAATCGCAGCTTACAGCAACAACTACAAGGACGGTAAACAAGCACGGAGATGAAATTATTACAGCGACAACCTCCAACTATGAAACGCAAACGTTCAGTTCGAAAACCGAATGGCGAGTAAGAGCGATTTCTGCCACAAATTTGCATCTCAGAACGAATCATATATACGTATCGTCAGACGATATCAAAGAAACCGGTTACACTTATATTTTGCCGAAGAACGTACTGAAAAAGTTTGTTACAATTTCAGATCTGCGAGCACAGGTATACATTTATACTATTGATCAAAGTTGTACAATTGTAGTACAGGCGCGTAATTTCATTTGTTTGTTTCTCTGTTCGTTCGTTAACGTAGATCGCGGGATACTTGTACGGTATTAGTCCACCTGACAATCCGCAAGTTAAAGAAATTCGATGTATAGTTATGGCTCCACAATGGGGAACTCATCAAACGGTTCACTTGCCTAACACGCTTCCAAATCACCAGTATCTCAAAGAAATGGAACCTCTTGGTTGGATACATACTCAACCGAATGAGTTGCCGCAATTATCGCCACAGGTTTGTTTCTAACGTGCTCGCTCTTCTTCCCGTTCTTATTCTCACTTTTATTTTATTTTTTATATTCTTTTTTAGGATATATCTACTCACGCTAGAATAATGGCGGAAAATCCAATTTGGGATGGAGAAAAGACTATCGTGATTACTTGCAGTTTTACTCCAGGATCTTGTTCCCTTACGGCATATAAGTTAACACCTAGGTTTGTATTTATCGCGTGATTCTATGTTTTCCTTCCTTTCCTTCCTTTATTACACTCGATGTTTGTTTCAGTGGCTTTGAATGGGGAAAACAAAATACTGACAAGGGAAATAATCCTAAAGGTTATTTGCCTAGCCATTACGAAAAAGTACAAATGCTGTTGTCCGATCGTTTCCTCGGTTTCTTCATGGTTCCGAATCAAGGATCGTGGAATTACAATTTTATGGGTAAGAATGAAAGTTGCTTGACAACTTGTACGATTAATGCGATTAATGCGATAATTAATTTCTTTCTCGATAATAGGAGTAAGACACGATCCGAACATGAAATACGAACTACAACTGGCGAATCCAAAAGAATTTTATCATGAGATTCATAGACCTGCCCACTTTTTGAATTTCTCCAGTTTAGAGGATGGTGAGGGAGTCGGGGCTGATCGAGAAGACGTGTTTGCCTAAAGAAGAAAGGTTTGAAAAAAAGGCTTTAGGTATGAACCAATCATTTTTCATTCTGTCTTTTTGTCTCTTTTCTCTTTTCTCTTTTCTTTTTTCTGCTTATAAGGGAAAAGAGAAGAAAAGAGAAGAAAAGAGAGAAATAGAAGCTTTTTAAACGCGAGTAATTCATGTACGTGTAGTTAGGTGATTTCATGATTATGGATCTCCAACATGTAACATGTAATTAAGAGACGATGTAGTATTATGTCGGACATTAATTATTTTGTACTATATTTTAATATCCCTTTATAATAAAATACATGTATACTGTGTACGTGTTGTATGTATGCGGTCGCTCGCATGCACGCGCGTGTACGCATGTACGATGTGTGTATGCGAATTAGGTACGTAAGAAAAATGTACAAAATTTTCAAATACTTGACATCGTAAAAATAAGGAATTTAATGTAAATTTTAAGGTAGACGATGGCCAGCATTTTTGTCACTTCCTTTTTACATTAAGCACAACTTGATAACCTTTTAACGCTGAACACGAAGCAGTTTTTAGTATTTCATTTTCATTATCGATACATTACTCATCCATTGATAGGAAAAAACACGTTAGATTATTTAGCGTTACATTATTTTCAATATACATATAATTAGCATTACGTTTTCTTGAAAATAAAATTGTGAAATTCGTAAAAAATCGTTATTAAATTTATGTTAAATGCAATGGTAACTCATCGGTGACTAGATAGATAGAGATAGAGATACAGATTCAGATTAGTCGTCGATTACACAACTACGGGTTGAGCCGAGCATTGTAAGGGGTCGAAATTGAGGAAAAGACGTAAGGTAACGAAGTTTGAAGATTGTATCATTTATCGAGGGGATTACGCGTTAAACGCAATCGTTGTTGTCAATAAATGTAGTCCTGTTGCGAGAGGCGGGGTCGCTCGAATACGTGATAATCTTCTCGTGAAGCGGTACGGCCGATGTCGTACAAGTTGTACGAGAAGCAGAGCTGTGATACGCGCTGCGAGTCGAGTTTCTTGAGAGAACGTTGTTTCCATGGCATCCGAATCGTTTTAAAAGTAGCCGTCTGATTTTGTCTTTCCAAACGAAAATCAAAAAGATAATAACACCCTGCAATGTGTTGGTAAGGTCGGTAAGGTACCAAATGTACGCCGGTGAATTGTTGCATAGCCACGATACTATTTCCATCGACCAGTTAATACCCATCACGATGAATAGCTTCAGGTAGAGGTTGAACCTGAACAAAGAAAATACATAAAAATTGATCGATTATTAGCTCGTAATATAGGAGAATCGTTATGCGATGATAAAGAAAGCGTAAAGTGTTGTATAGAGTGTAAAAGAAGGATCTGACGGACGACGAAACGTGCGACCATAGGCGGAAGAGTGTTTGAACGGATGTATTTGTTACTCGAGTGGTAGCCGTCATTATGAAAACAAATCAAGGCATGGGAAAAATGTTCGTTCTAGTCGGTCTATGAGAAGATCCAAAAATAACGTTGCCCTCACAAAGGCACAATAAGAATAAGAATGAACGTGGAAATTTGAGAAGCGAATCTAAGGAAATATGAATCGTATCTCGATAAAGGTGGTAGAAAAATGAAGAAAAAAAAAAAGCGGCGCTATCAAAATCGAAGCGAAGGAAAAGAGAAAGAACTAACCATTGCTTATTGTCGTCGTGACGTCTGCTGTCTATACCTTTCAAATGATGAGCCGTATCCTTTTTGTGTTGCACGATCTTTAGTGCCGTAGAAACGAAAAGGCATATATTGCAAAAGACAGTAACACCCATGGGTCCGTAAAAGTAGATCGCCTTTGCCTTATCCGCTAAAAAGTAAATTACGTAGATTAAGCTCGCGCGATCGGTGTGATAGGTATAAAAAACCTACTGTTGAACCAGCAACTTTGCGTCCCGAATTCCGGCTTGACAAAGTGATCCGGAATATTGGGAAGAAAATCCATAACGATGCAGACCCCGGTAAGAAGAAACGCACAGCCCCAAGCATAGACAGAGTATATTAAAAATTTCTTTCGTTCCCTTTGCTTCACGCTGCCCTGCAGTGATCGAAAACCTCTGAAAATCAATCAGGGTAAATTTTTTCTTTTAATTCTTTCAGTAATTGATACTACATATAGGTACATATAGGTACATATAGGTACATATAGGTACATATAGGTACATATAGCAAAAGGGTTTGCCAATGGCGCGGCGCGGCGCGACGTTTGTGGTTTTTCAATGACTCATTCGTCATTTCCTGTGTATGTAAGTATGTATGTATGTACATATCGTGTCTTGCAAAGGCTTTAACAGTTGACGACGCGAGGAGTATTTCGATTTTCTTGACCAGGCAATTTTGTCAGAAAATTTGTTTAAAAGACAATTATAATTATTGATCTGTTCAGTTTTCTTCTTATCTTTTACTAGTGGACGTCGCGTTGTCATTAGGGAATACGGGGTATGTGGAATGTCACACCCTACATATTTAGATGATAAAAAATAGGCTTGGCGAAAGAAAGATACGGTTGCGACAACGATGTGGCCACACCGCGCCGTATTAACGATTTTACTTCTACGTAAACGATATCGTATCACAAACGAATGCGTCATAATTTTTCCTACGACATTCTCAGCCGATCTCTGACTATTCGCGGAACGTTTAAAAATACCGAGGTACCGAGATACCGAGTACAGCGTAAAATTTCTTTGAAGAAGCAAATTTCTTTCCGACAATTTCAAAAGACAATGGAACGGTGATACGTACGAAGGATGTTATTACGTAGAATGTGATGTACATAAAGAGAAGCGCGGGCTACAATGTAAACCCCATTAAAGGTAGTAGATAGCTAGCAATTAACGAGGAAGCATTTTGTCGCGTCGTCACGCGATGCGAACGCGTTCGTAATTAGCTAATTAATCTCGTTGTGTTTTCGAACGAATAAAAATCTACTTTTATTGCGTTGAAATTTTATTCCTGTAGCAATTTCAACATTGGTATGGTAAGAGTACAGCGTTGGCGTCGAACGATTCTCAGCTTTCGAGATTTGTTTGGACGATACGTCACGATTTGTTTGCTGTACACCTGGCGCTCTACCTACAGGATACACAAGTATGTAGTAAGTAGATCTGAAACTTTTATAACGATTTCATCTAGCGCCTTATCGTTAAATTATACGAAAGTGAAAACTCGTTAGAGAAGCGGACTGTGTACAGAATCGAGATTAAATTGATCGAAGCACTATTGACAATTGAGAGAGGGACGACGAAGGAACGAGCCCCCCTCGCCTCGACACTTGAGAAGAATCGTCTGTTTCCGTGGTCCGATCGAAATTAATTTAAGAATGTTTGCCAAACGTACGAGCTGGATGTTAATTTGCGTTACGTCCCTATCAATTTTCCTCCATGTTTGTCGGCTATCGAATTTCTCTTCTTCGATCGAAGAGTAACGCGACGCGTCGTTTATGGCGTCGTGAAACGTGTTCCGAGTGCTATATGTAGGTACAACAAAATGAATTATGAATAGCACTTACCCAAACGTCCACCAAATATCGAAACACATTACGTTCAACCAGAAAAAGCTGGCCAAGAAGGAGAAATGGATGACGAAGGCTGAAAAAGAAATATGTACCAATTAGCTCGCATCAGCGTACTTACTTACTAACGTAGAAAGTTAGTTGAATAGCGATAGCAGGTAAGAAGCAAAGCAAGTAGTAGAAGCGTACGATAAGCGTGCCTGGTAGCTGAGGCCATCGCGTCGCGTCGTAAACGTAAAGAAAGTGACAAGTACCGAACGCGATGCAAAGAGGATCCGAAATCTGGTCTTGCGAGGAGATCTGTACGACGAAAAGTATCACGTAAGCGACCAAGAGAGAACCGATGTATCCTCGGAGTGTGCGTCCATGCATGTTCTTCAATTCTGGTAGAAGCGTGTAGACGAGAAAGGTGGCGAACAGGAACGGTACCGATACGATCAATCCCACGGGAAAGACGATCCTGATTTCCGTTGACGTATCATCCTTAACCTGTGACGTGTCATCGTCGAAGCAAAGGACAACGTAGTAGGCGTCGGTGTCGGTGATGCCGAAACAGTATTCCGTCTCCTCGAGAATAACGTTCTCCGGCTGTTTATAGATCGAACCGTTATCGAGAAGCATAAACGCGTCCTCTGGATATTTTTCCGGATCTAGATTGTAGCTTTGACTGGCATTACAAGGATATCGAATGAAAAAATCGAAGCAATCCCGATCGGGCGTTTCGAGGAGAAGAGATAAATCGTTGGAACGGTATAGAGATGGAAAACGGAAAATGGTGATGTTCGTTTCGAAGCATCGACCAGCCGACAAACGACTCGCGTACGGACAACACAAAGCCACTCGAGGAAGAGTTTTACCAATGATCACATTCGTCCGCGATAACGATTCGATCGCGTCGATCGCGAGTATTGCAATCGCGACGAAAACCGTCGACGAAAACATCTTGACGGATCCGTATTTCTTCACCGACTGCTTCTTTTATCGCCAGACTTTCGAGTTCGAGTTCGAGTTCGAGTTGGTTGCGACCGCAGACATTATCGCGGCTCCAGGAAACGTCGATCCTTGTCGAACATCGCCGATTAGGTACTGCCGATTAACTGCACTTTTTACACGTTTTACACTTTTTACACTTTTTACATACAATATAACATACAGGGTTAGGCATTAACTATTGCCACCTAGAATAACTCCGAAATAATCTTTTCTTACTATGTAGCTGGAGTTGCTTCAGAGATACGAAGGTCATCTTTGTTTCTTTAGATAGAACGCTATGTTTTGGTACTTATTTTCTGATCCCAGACGAATCTAACATTAAGGTCTTCGAAGGTCAAGAAAGGTCATTTACATTAATGAGAAAAAAGGCGAAATAAAGTTACATCTACAATCTACATATTCTAGTGTTCAAAGTGTAGTCTTCCTTTATCCGGGAAAAGAGAAACGAAGAAACGGAGAAAACGTTCTTGTGCGGTGGATCGTCAGTAAACTACATACAATTAGCGTTGATTGCGGAAACCGGTATCTCTGCTTTATTATTCTATCGTACGCATCGTAAGCGGTGAAACGATAGTAGCAGTAAAAGTACGATCGCGTGCCCGTTAGGTATTTCGAGATTAACATTTTCACTAGCCTAACTAGGAAAAGAAAGTTTCATCTTGTTTCGAACGCGTTCTTTGGAATGCCAATATATTCCAAATGATCTTACATGCATACATGCATACGCCTATAACACGTGCTTGCGATACACTATGTATGGTAAGCGCATAGAAAATCGCGAAGAATATTTCTTCAGCCTGTAGGTATAAGAAAAGAAAAAATGATAAATCTGAAAGGAAAGCAAGAAAGTAAGAAAATGGGAAGATATGCTTACCTATCGCGGAACAGAGAGCAATGGTAAAGTAGTAAAAGAATTTGACCAAGACGAGAAAGGTGTACGCGACGACGAGACAAGCGACGTAACACATCAAAGTCTTTCCATAGAGGTTCCTTAGCTCTGGAATGATCGCGTACACGAGAAAAGTGACGAAGAAGAACGGAATGGAAACAATGATACCGACTTTGTAAGATTCTTGTTGTTTCTCCTCCTCGTAAGAAGAAGAAGCGTCGTCGGTCGATAGACAAACTAAAACGACAATCTTTTCGAAGGAATCTTTCCAGTCGAGGCAGTAAGTCCATGCTGCGAACTTGCTCGTAGACGTTTGAAGGGTGCCGTTTTCCAGTAAAACGAACGCATCTTCTTCGTACCGTTCCGGTTCCAATCTATACTTGTTCTCGGGGCACAACATGTCCTCGATGAGAACGAAGAAATCGCTTAAACCGGATATTCCTTGAATCTCGTTCGCTAATTGACGCTCTTCCAAAGCAAGATCCCGAGCGAGTTGTCCGTTTTCTAATTGAGTACAATTCGGCCGATCGTTTCCTCCTAGAATCTGATCTCGCCTGCAACACTTTCTCAGACAAGCGCGTACGTTACACACGCATCCGTATGTCTCATTTCCGACCACCCGATAAGAATTCACGGGATACACCAACTTGTTGTGCACTAAACTTCCATTCTCCAATCTACCGATTTTATTACCTTCCAAAACGATGCTAGGAAACGGCCGACAAAACGAATCCTCTTTCGTCTCGATTCTTTTCCCTTCGCTCCCTCTTAACCAATCGATTAAAACGAACGAAATTACACGAGCTACGATATAATGCCGCATCGCGACCTTTTCTTATTTACGTGCCTTCTCTTGCACCCTTCCTTCTTTCCTTCTTTCCTTCTGTCTTTCCTATTCCCCTTTTTTTTCTTAATATATCTCTTTTTCTTCGATTCAGTAAATTTATGCTCTAAATTTCCAACGATCGTCTAAAAAGTCATTTTCGTCGACGCGATGAATCGTAAAGCTTGCAAACGAACGACTGCCCTCCGAATTTTTCGATTCTTCGTCCCGTTGCCGCGCGCGTCAATCCCGCACCAACGCCACCCGAACACTATTACGAGATACATAACTTTCTCCTCGTCGACCATCCACCCTTGCTGATTTTCTCATCATCCATACGTATGTACATACGTATGTTTATGTTATGTATGTATGTACCGTCCATCGATCTTGATAAGGTTACTAGTTATCGGTAACTAGAGCGCAGCACTTCACTCGGCAAACAACAAACGGGCAGCTTTTCAATTACCTAAGCCTCGTCTTCTTTAACCCTTTTCAAAACAGGGAATATTTTCTTTAATATTTCATTTCAATACAGAATATCCAACTAACTGCTCTCTTATGCATCATTTATATTTCAAACTTTCGATTCATCGAATCGATCGATCGATCGATCGAAACGCGATACGTCTCAAACTCGATACCAGAGCCCAGATACCAATATATATTATATATACCTATCAATTATCGATCGATTGCAAAAGGTTAAATATTTTCAATCAAACACTTGTTCGTTTCTTCTTTCTTTCCCTCGAGATAAGATTCGATTGAAATGAAAAATATTATTTCTTCATCTAATGACATATCTATTATATCACATTCTATATCTCAAGAATGCCTTAATTTCAAAAATATACAATAAATAACATAACGTTCCATTACAACTACAGTAACTACAGATACAAAAAGACTGGACATGGCATTGTTTTCGTCGTGTCTGTTTTACCAATTCCTCTTCTCTCATACCTCGCCGCATTCGCAACTGAAAGAAATCAATTCCAGCGCCATCTATACAAAATTGCCGGAAACTACTCAATTTTTCGAAACTCAGACGATTATTTTAATAACGGGCTGAGAAATGTTTCACATTTTTATACTAGAATAGAGGAAATGGCGCTCGTTCTCGAGGCAAAAATTCAAGATATCTCGAAAATAAAGACATGTTCATGTCCAGTTTGGTCCAGTGTCTTTGGACACTGTAGTCTGTAATCATTGTAAGTATACTTACATACGTACACGTACACGTACACGTATACGTACAAAACTTTCCTATCAGAGATTAAACTAAGCTAATTGAGCAACACCTATTCGGTTAGCTAATCGTTCTTAAGAGAAAAACTAACACCTGTTGCTCCGTACGAAATAGATACCTAAACAGATAGATGGCACATTCGGAAGAAATGAAATCGATATGGAGGAGCGCGAATGCTGTCACCTTCGACGTTGATTCCACCGTAATACAAGAAGAAGGTATCGATGAACTCGCGAAATTTTGTGGTAAAGAAAAAGAGGTTGCTGCGTTGTAAGTTTTATTTTCCTTCTTTTTTTCTTTCTTCATTAAAAAAAAAAAAAAGAAAAAAAAACGTTTTCTAATTAACTTTGATTGGATACGAATAATAATCACTTTGATACGAATGATCAGTAATTAAAAATAATTTTAGAACGAATCAAGCGATGCAAGGAAACGTAACGTTTCGACAATCTTTGGTGGAAAGGCTGAATATCATAAAACCAAATTTGATGCAAATCAACCGGTTTTTAGCGTCGCATCCGTTGAAACTTTCGCCTGGGATCAAGTAGGAAATATGTAGTTTCAATTGATATCAAGTCGCTATAGCATATCTTGTATTGTTTCCTTTTTTAAAGTTTTTTTCTTTTATACAAATTTCAGAACTCTGATAACGGCACTACAAATTCATAAAAAGCAAGTGTTTTTGGTATCTGGTGGATTTCATTGTTTAATCGCACCAGTTGCCTCGTCGCTTAATATCCCGTTAGAGAATATTTTTGCAAACAGGCTTAAATTTTATTTTACAGGTTATTTATTCACGCTAATGCACGATCAACTTAATGCATTATATCGAAAATTTAACTTAACTTATTTATAGGAGAGTATGCAGGATTTGACGAAGATCAACCCACAGCGGAAAATGGTGGAAAAGCAAAAGTAATTCGATATCTTAAAGAGGGAAAGGGATTTCAAACTATTGTACATATTGGAGATGGAGCAACAGATTTAGAAACTACTCCGATAGTAGATTTATTTATAGGTACATATCGTTTTAGTCTCATTTACTTAATTTACTTTATCTATTGGTACTATCTATTGGCTTTTCTTATAGGATATGGAGGAAATGTAATTAGAGAGAGTGTCAAGTCGAAATCTTCTTGGTTTATTACCAATTTCGATGAACTTGTAAATATTTTGGAAACGCAAACAGTATGACTTTTTTTGTTTTTTCACCTTAAATAAAATTTTGCAATAGGAAAATCTTAACGATAATCGATAAAAATGTCTTAACAATAACACAGCGTATCAAAGTTGTCGAAATCTTTACTAATGCTTTTCCTATTCAAAATTTCGCCTTAAACATTAATAGTCTATCAAATTTCAATCTACGCACCCTTCCAAGTCTTCGAATTAATTTTATTTCGTATTCACTTGTAACATTCACCTTTCTCAAATTAAATATAAGAAACTTTATAACAAGTACTTTATACACTTATCATACAGTAACAGCAATGTTTAGCTCTTTGCTTACATTCTTACACAGACTATTATGTATAAGACATTTGCATAAAATGCAATGTCAAAATCTGTGTTGAATGGTAATAATTATAGCACAAAATCGGTATCTGTACATACCCTATGAGAATTTTTGTACAAAAATATGTATGTACCTCTGTATACATATTAGGAAACAACAAAATTTCAACAAATCAACATAAAACATCGAGTCTGCCATAGATTATATGTAGTACTTTGTTCTTCGTATCATCTGAAAGTAGACAACTTAATCTTATTGCTACATTCCATACTAAACCTGAAGATATGCATTTTGCAAGTTACAATTTTCACCAACCGAATTCGTCAACTCTTCGACGATCAATGACGACTTCTTGCCTTTTCTTGCTTTTTTTCCTGTATCCATTCTTGAACTCTACGCTGAAGTTCAATGTTAGATTTCACCATATCCATAGTTAAGGGAGAACGATTGAACGGATCTGTTTGATCGCTAAGTAGATGCCTGAAAAATATCGATGGAAACATTAATCGGATATGCGTTATTTATCTTTTCGCAACTACAATAACAAGATATACCGACCTCGCTATAGTTTGACGATCGATAGTTATTCCTGACGATGGAAGAATGACAGGATCGATCATTAAAGTCGACATAATTGGGTCAAGAAATTCGTCAGGAGCATCAATTAAAATTTCATCTTCTTCTTTTTTATCATTTGCAGCTGCCTCTACATTATTTGCAAACTGATCCAAATCTCCCAACATTCCCACGCCACCGATATGAACTAAAACGTTATTAATTACACAAATAATAATAATAATAAATGCGTATATGTTAAATGCTTACCCAGAACTTTGTCGGCTAATTTAAATAGTTCAGGACTGTATGATCGACCATCTTGTGAAACAGCCAGTGTAAAAGATTTATTTTGACTCAAATTTATATAAATTTCACATATATTTAGTACCAAATTTGCAGGATTAAATGCATATTCTTTCTGACCATTCACCTAAAGTTAATTCACAATATATAGTACAGCATTCTACGTTTATATTTGCTTGAAATTGTTATAACGCTAACAGTTCACCGTAATTTCTACCTTTAGATTTTTTTTATTTGGTCCAACCAATTGAAGTAGTAAATAATTAAGCATCGAAGCAATACGATCTACCATAGTCGGATGACAAAAGATCGATTTTATCTCTGTAGTTAACATTTTTAACGTATATATAGTTTTTCTACCTAATATGTTGTTAAATCGAGCAGTCATTCCAAGATGTAAAAGATAATGAGCCTGTTGGTCACGTTCGTGTTGTGGTAACTTATTCCACTCTCCACTTTCCCTTCGAATTAATCTCATATTATACAGAGCGTCCAGTTTAACGGGAAGAGAAATTTTTCGTAGCCGATTAAGTTAAGTAAAAATTCAAACTGTACGAATAAATACCTTGCTTGAATTAACTGCCTCAATTGAGCCATACTTGAAAGTGCCTCGTCTAACAAGAACACTGCATCGTTCATCAAAAGGTTTATAAAACGCAAAAATAATGGAGGTTGAGCTGCTTCCATATTGGCTTCCGCTTCTTCAGCTAAGCTACTGTAAAAAAAAAAATATTCAAAGTACAATATAAATAACTAAAGTAATTAATCCTGGGTAAGCATTAATATGTCATTTTTACTCTATTTTTTTATTACTACTACTACTTACATAAAGTTATTTCGATGTTCTGGTAGTTTCCACAAATATTCCATAACAACATACATTGGTCGTCGATAATTGAATTTTTGTTCGAATTGTACACTTTGTCCGGTCATTTCGATGCTTACAAACACTTTAAGTAAATTCGAAACGATCTAAATTATAAAGTAAACCGTCATACATACATACATACATATATGTACATATTGTAAATCATAGAACATTTTACGAATCCAGAAGACCGATTATTTACTACGTACATGTTGCCTATATGGATGCGTAATAAATAATTGTTCTCTATGAAATTTTCCCAAACTCGGTGTTATGGGTTTCATCGTTTCATCAGTCGTAGGTAGAAGCGCTTCTAAACCCTCGGCCAAACGAGCGCGTAAATGAGGGTTGTATAAACGTTGTTGAGACTCCATTAATACTATAATCTAACATAATTAGGCTCAATTATTTTACGTTTTCACCGTATATGTATAGTAGCTCACCTCTGTCAATATTGGTGTTAAAAAGGAAGGACCTTGTTCTTCGAAAACATTTGGATTTAGACGGCACAAAATATATAAAAATCTAATAGTATTTTCAACCACAAATTCAGGAATGCATCTATAGGAAATATAAATACCAGTTGAAATTATTAATACAAGGAAAAGAGGAGAGCCTTTAAAAAAATTACCTTAACGTGTCTGGGACAGTTTCTGGTAAAGGAAATGTTACTACTTTACATTCCTTTGGAATGTAATCGCTCGGTTCAGTTTCTCCGATTCTTACATCGTCCAAGTACACTTGCACCAACCAGAATGCTGTTGTCGCATGGAACTTGGCCAAAAGTTTTAGCATCTCGGGCACCAAAAGACTTGCTCTTAGAGATAAATACCTAAAATTTATAAGATGAGTTATTCGACAAAACATCTACCGCGATCAACAATTTCTTTCTAGTTGATAAGAGTAAGAAAAGCATACTTGGTCATTTCCTCTTCCATGCGCTCTGTTATCGTTTCTAATACCTCTGACCTGCCGCCACTCTGAGCATCCTGATATACTCTTTGTATTCTAACCAAACTTTGATTTGTTCTAAAATTTTCAAAAGTCAATCACTATTTCAATATAAATTTTTATTTATTTACAAAATGAATATATTTCTGCTGGAATCACAAACCTTAAAAATTTGTCCAATACTACTCTATAACCAAGATCGAGAGCTCTATGAGTTAAAAAAAAACATTCGGTAATGAAACCGAAAGTTTTTGCGACTGGTTTAGCACCACTTTCTGATGTTGGTATCAAACAAGTTTCTGAAGACATTCCTTTCAAATGTATAACCTGATCTGCACATTCATTTTCATTGTTCACCTAGAAAGTTAATTTCTATAAAATACTTAGCTTTCCAAAAAATTTAACGTATAACGCTTATTCACCCACGTTTTTTTATTACAAATTAACTGACCTCTGCTGCACAGTATGTTGGATCAATTTTAGGCACTTTGAATTCGTTTTGTTTAATACAGAATGGTTGACAAAGTCGTAATAACACGTTTCCTAAATTTAACATAAAACCATCAGAGACACACAACATTGTACTAAAAACCACATCATTTTGGGCATTCCAAAGTTTTCCTCTATTTGCATTCGAATGAAGACAATCGCCTATCCATTGTAAAGTTAAATGCCGGACTTCGATTGAGCACTTTAACAATAAATGAAAAACTTTTTGTAAGGATTCGTTCAGTGCATCCAAAGCAGTCCAAATGTTACCCTCGACGGTAGTTGAAGACTATAATGAAAAGCACAAATATCATATTTTGTCTCAATAATTGGTATAACTTGGTAATTTAATTGTTTTTTATATTCATATACATACATATTACTTACCTGTTGCAATGGTTTATCAAAAAAGTAAAATGGTTCCCCTATTGCTTTTGGTAAACAACTCAAACTAAGAAGCGAACCCAATAACGTGTCTGCATAAGCTCTGCCTTGATTGCTTTTAGGTGTACTATGCTCGATAACTAATTTTGCTAGAGGTTCTATCGCAGAAAAGAGATTTAATATGGTAAACCAGTACTGGCGGAAAAAAACAAGGTTGCTCTGTGCTGCTTCTTTAAAAATTATATCAAGAATAGGAGTAAAAGATGCAACGATCGCATCTGAAGCATTCTTTTCATTTTCTGCTTGCAGTTCGGACACGATACCGTTTGTAAATGACATCAGTTCTAATTTTGGCCTTGTTTCATCCATGCATAACGCGATAAACTGATTGTGAATCTGTAAAACACACAATTAAATAATGCTCTTTTAAATTTAATGCTTTCACAATGGTAAAAGCGACGATGAATAATTTATTTACCTCTTGTTCCTCGAACAATTTTGGTTCTTGCAGTGCAACAGCTGCATTTTGTAAAATAACCTGACGTATTTTCTGAATAATATCGGAACATTCTATTTTATTTTGATATCGCTGTAATCGACAATAGCTTTCAAATAAATAATACATTACTAGTTTTTCTAATGTGTGAGAATCATTTACAGTATCTTGGGAATTTCCAACAGGTACTAATTTAGATTCAAGGTCGGACAGCATTAATCGCTCAAAAACTGCTTGTTCGATTGAATCAACATTAACAAAAACTAATTTACGTTTTTGTTCTTCATTCGATTTTATTATATGTAATGTTATTCCAAATATATCACCGAGAAGACGATTAACTTGGCTATCGTTTCTGAAATCTTTGGAATCTTGAAAATTTGTTATTTCCTTAGTGTTGTCAACATTTTTATCCTCAAGTTGCGCAATATAATTAACTCTGTTACTTTCGTTGATAATCGTCTGATTCTGGGATGAAAATGACACGGCATCATTAATGGTTGAAAACAACCCAGCAAATGGATTGTTGTTCACGTTGTCACACATGGTTCTCTTGTTAAAACTCAATTACAGTTGTTAAAAGCATAATTGATCTAAAAATATATTGTCAAGCTTTAATAATCAATGTAAAAGATATTAGAAAATAAATTAAAGTTTTCTTACGATTACTATAC